AAAAAAAAAAAAAAAAAAAAAAAAAGAAAAAAGAAAAAGAAATGGGATCAATAGTGACCTCACTGGCCAGGCCAGACTCCTGAGCTGTCAAATACATATATTTATATTTATATAAATTATATATTATATATTACATATAATCTATATTTTAGTGGGAAGTTAAGTACAATGTTTGGGTAGAGAAAGATCAACAGGAAAGTATAGATTAGAAAGGAGACCAGTTAGGAAGAAGAGGTAAGATGGTTACCAAAACTGAGGTATTGGCAATAGAAGTAAATAGATGAATTTCTCTTCTGATAAATAACTTGGCATTTAATTATTTCCACATTGATTATTACTTCTTAAATGATTGATGGAGTAAAGGAAAGGGAAACAAGGACAGTGTTTCTGTGGAAAGAAGGTGGGAGAGGTCAGACCTTAATGGGTCGAAGAATATGTACTTGAGAGCGGAGATAGTCAAGTCAGCTGGTGTGAAGAACTCTTCCAAGTTTGACCATGAAGAGGGGCACAACAAGGTGATTGCATGAGTGGGAACGGGGCTTTCTTAGTTGGTTTGGACTGTCATAACACAGCACCCTAGGCTGGGCGGTTTCAAACCAATAGGCATTTATTTCTCAGAGTTCTGGACCCTGAGTAGAAGGCCAAGATCAAGGTGGCAGCAAATTCACTCTCTGGTTGGAGCCCATCTTCCTTTTCATATAGGCCCTTCTGCCTGTATCTTCACCTGGTGAAGGCAAGCAGCCAGCCCCTGGGTCCTCTTTTGTAAAGACACTAATCTTGTTCATTAGAACCTCACTCTTATAACCTAATCACCAGCCAAAGCCCCTACCTCTGAACGTCATCACCTTGGGGATTAGGATTTGAACATATGAATTTGGGAAGAACATTAATATAGAGTCCATTACAGGAACCTAGGGAAGACATTTGTATGATGGGAAAGACCAGCTCAATTAAAAGCTCACAGGAAAGTACATGGAGGAAGATGTTGAAGCTTTGAGAACTAACTTGGATAAGCCAGAGGGCCGGGCTCCTTAGGGGGCAAGAAAGAACGCCATAATGATACCATCACTCAGTGCTCAAGGTAGATAGATGCATGCAAATCAAAAGATGAGAGCTTGTTGTGGACCCAATCGAGATGCCGGGAGAGATGAAGATGAGAAGTTTGGAAGGAGACATTTGAAGAATATCTCTCTGATGGCTACTTCCATAGCAAATCAAGATTAGAAACTATTTTTTAAAAAGACCTGAGCCATACAGATGAAGACACCAGGGAAGATTCGAAATAGATGCTGCGGAAAATGGAAAGACTAAAGAAACTGTGGGATGTGATATGGTTGGGAAATTTGCCTTTTCTCTCATTAATGAGAAAAATGTTTCCCGTTAGTGATAAAGCGTTTTCTATGCTAGTTGATATGTTCATTAAGTTAAGAATTAATCATTATAATGAAAACCACTTGAGAAGTAGATGCTAATCAGGGCTGCTACACAATACAACATTGAACATGCAGAAGAGTGCTCCCTGACAACCTTTTTCTGTCAATGTATGACTAATGGGCTAGTACACACCAAACGGGGAAAGGATTCATTGAACAGTTCTGAGGTCTAGGCCCCTAAAGCAGAGGAACTACACAACCTTTTGCTCAGCACCCACTCCTACCCTCCAAGTGGACCGCAGTACTTTGACAAATATTCCGATAGGCAAAGGAGCAGAACTTGATGATGGGCAGGATATGGGGCACAAGGGGAAGCAAGGTAACAGAGGTGATTTATTCATTCAACAAAAAAGAGTTGCGTGTCCATCAGGTGACCAGAAGCTTTGCCTTAGGCAGTGAATATTCAAATATAAATAGCTCCTGCCTTCAAAGAGTTTGAAATCTAACCAGGAGACAGACTTGTATAGAAGCAATCACTAGGCACAGTGGGTGTGCAGTATCCTGCAGCTTTCACACTCAGGGGTCTGAGGAACTCAAGGAGGAATATCCTTTTTCATTGGAAAGGCCTGAAGGAGACGACCTTTGAGCCGGATGGAGTTTTCTGTTAGATTCTTTGTTTAGGAAAATGAGCGGATCTCCCTTGAATCTACATTGCATCGCGGGCAGAGCATTGCACAGAGCATGGTGGAGTGAACTTGATTTCCATGTGGCCCAATGAACACGGAGCCTTGGCAAAGGTGGCTGGGTAGCCGGAAATGAGGCTGGACTGGGGAAGCAGGGGCCGGGTTATGAAAAGATGCGTGCTAAAGGTCTTTCTTCTAGTCTATTTCCTCATCTCTAAAATGAATAGAAAAGAGATGAAAGAACATGTCCTATACAGGTTGCAGTCTTTGAAATTATGCATTTGGGGCCATTGGAATAGAACAAAATTAAATATTCATTGAAAAATACAACCCACTTCTACCCTGAAGCTTTAAGTAATTTTGCTCCTCAAATTCCTTTTAAGTGCATAACCATCAGAAAATATTATTTTCCTTTTTGCATAAATGGCTTTTCAAATTTGAGTAGTGCATAGAAAGCAAAAGAGCATGTCTGTTGGCTCTTTTTCAAAATCAGTCTATTCCCTAGCAATGGGTAGATGAGACAAATATTTTAAGGCCAGCCATTCAGAAATAGCTTCCAAATTAATTTGAATATTTATTTCACATGCACAATGGTTACAGAAACCATTTATTTTTGTTTGCTTTAAAGTAGATTTATCTGATTTAGTTTCATTTGTCATTTCACATGATTGGCATCGTAGAAAACATTCATTTCTCTCAGAAATTCTGAGATAGAATTTTGATTGAACTAGTGCATAATAAATGCATTTAAAAACCCTGATTTCTTGCTTGAGATTTGTTTTTGTCATTGCTTTTATTGTTGCCAGGATGGTGTGAGCCCCACTGAGGCACGTGGCTCTGGAACAAAAATTAAGGGGTGCCTCTAAGCTGCATATTCAAGATAAATAATATTTTAGTGCAATATTTAAAAATAAGAATTAATACAGAAGAATCCATGGAGTATAAAATAACCAACAATTTAAATGAAGACAGGCTCTGCTCCTGGACTTGCCAGGCTTGCACCCTAATCCCAGTTCTAAATTTTCAGTCTGCAGGGCCATCTTTCTTGGTCTCAGCACCATGAGAGGCTGGGGTAGAGAGATTGTGGGTTTGAGTCCATACCAAGCAACTTGGGGAGTCCCTCCCCCATCTCAAAATAGGAAAAAAAAAACCCAAACACCAAAAGGGCTGGGGATGTAGCCCATTGAGAAAGCCCTGGGTTCATTCTTGAGCAAAGCACACACATACACACATACACACACACCTACCTTATGAAGTTTGACTCACACAGAGACTTTTCAGATTTCTTTATCCTTTGAGAACGTCTGACCTCTTGAAAACTGCTTTAAATATTTACCCACAGCTTGCCAGGCTGCCTGAAATTTTCATCTTTATCTTTAATTATGTTTTAAAAATGCATAAAGAACATTAATCTATTCTAATTATGAAAAATAAAAATAGAGACATATACATAATGAAAGTTAAAGGCTCCTCTCCTTCACTGATCCCCTCTATTCTCACACTGGAGAGAATGAGGCAGTTTGACGTGGGAGCCTCAAGTCTCTTTCTACACACTTATGCACACATTGAGGCACGCAATGGACACACAGGTACTACACATAAAGCAGATTATTCTTAAGTCTTGTGTTCCAGGGTTTAAAAAAAATCACACAATTATAGTCCAGTTTTGTAGCAGTATTATTCACATATAGCTAAAAGGCAGAAACAAGTTAAATGCCCATCAGTGGATAAATGGATCAGCACAATGTAGTATGTACATCCAATGGGCACCACGCAGCCTTACAAAGGAAAAGAATTCCAACACACACTGCAGCATTCACTAACGTGCCTTGAAAGCATTACACCGAGGAATAAGCTACCTATTGGATAATTACGTTATATTAAGTACCAAGAGCGGT